GTTCTAGTTCAGTTCTAGTTCAGTTCAGTTTAGTTCAGTCTAGTTGTCAGTTTCTAGTTCAGTTCTAGTTCAGTTTAGTTCAGTTTTAGTTCAGTTCTAGTTCAGTTCCAGTCAGTTCTAGTCAGTTCTAGTTCAGTTCTAGTTCAGTTCTAGTTCAGTTCTAGTTCAGTTCTGGTTCAGTTCTAGTTCAGTTCTAGTTCAGTTCTTGTTCAGTTCTAGTTCAGTTCTAGTTCAGTTCTAGTTAAGTTCTAGTTAAGTTCTAGTTCAGTTTTAGTTCAGTTCTAGTAAGTTTTAGTTCAGTTCTAGTTCAGTTTTAGTTCAAGTTCTAGTTCAGCTCTAGTTCAGTTGTTGTTCAGTTCTAGTTCAGTTCTAGTTCAGTTGTTGTTTAGTTCTTGTTCAGTTCTATTTCAGTTCTAGCTCTGTTCTAGCTCAATTCTTGTTCAGTTCTAGTTCAGTTGTTGTTTAGTTCTAGTTGAGTTCTAGTTCAGTGTTAGGTCAGTTCTAGTTGAGTTCTAAAAGTATTCGAAAGAAGTGGAAACCTGTGATTACTAATATGTCTTTTAAAATTTCGATGATCTGAATAATTTGGTATTCTGTAAACCGATAATCTAAGTGGAAGTAGCCCGATTCCTTCTGGCACAAAAACTCCTCTGTCTAATATGTTTTTCGATATTCCTAGTGAAAAACAAAAAATACATTTTAACCCAAAATTTGAGATCTGAGAGCAAACATTTTAAAAATCTATGATCACTTGATACAAATATATAGCTTAACAACAGCGGGTGATTATTTTTGGACCACCAAATAGTTACTTTGCATTCCGTTCAAAGATCGAACTAATAACAAACATCAAAAAATCAATGACGACAAATGCGCGCATAACGATGAAGCAACCGCACAACGAAAGTAAATCAATTAAAAAAAAACAACAAACAATAACATTAGAAATAAAAAAGATTGGAAGAGAAAAAAAAACATAAACAAATAGAAAGAAATTCCCAAATAAACAACAATAACAATAAGAACCATTGATAAGAGAAAGAAACGACACAAAATGTTACTCATGTAGACGAAACAGAAACAAAAAAAAAAAAAAAAAAAACAACAAAACTTTAATGGAATTCCAATTGTATCGATAATCATTCACTCACTATCACCGCACTGCACTCCACACACTGTGTGTAAGTAAGTAATGAATGAGTGATCAAAGGTGATCGTGTCAGGCCAACAACACCACTCCCGAATTTCGAACAAGAGTCATATGGTCACATTAAAAATAAATTTGAAATAATGATTAAAAATAGTATGTAGTTGTTCCTACTAAAGATAATAATGCACCGTGAAGTTGAAGTGAAGTTGGCAAAAAGAAATGAAAAATGATCGTACTATCCGATCATTAAAACTAAAGTTAGTAGATTGAATATAAATTAAACATTATGAACAATTTATGAGATACATTTTTTGTAATTATTTGGTCATTGTTTTTGAAAACTGTTTCACTGTCTATGATCGTATGACTTGATCGCAATAAGAAATCTTAATGATAATATGCGAAATGCAAGTGAGTTTTTAACTATTTTCTAATATTTTTGTTATTGCTTCTTAAAGACCACATAAGAAAATAAATAAAAAGAAAGAAGAAAAAAAAAAAAAAACAATAAAATTTAAACACAAAAAGAAAACGGCAAAAGAAACAAGTGTAAAAAGTTAAATGAAGTTACCTACCATCCATCTATTTTTACACACTCTCGCATTCATATACTCCTCTTACCGAAATAATGTCAGATGACGCATTAAAACGCTGAATACTTCACTATTGAATGAAGTATGAAGAGAGTAGAAATAAACAGAAACAAATACAATCCAAAAGATAATTTAAAGAAAACGAACAAAGATACATTTGAGAAAGCAAATTATAAGAGAATTTAAAAGAGTGATCTTTTTAAAAGAGCACAATTTCACACATGTATGCTCTTGAGAATGGAAGAAACGAACATCTGTTGATAAACCCAATATTAGTTATAGAAATCTCCAAAATTTCCTTACATTTTAAAGTGTTTAAAATAATGATCGTAAGTGATCGATGATATAAGCGATGACAGATTTGTTTTAAATTGTTTTTGCTATATTACCTCTAGTTTCCAATAAAATGGATTTTTAGTTATTTACACTGAACTTTAAAGATGTCCATTGTTTTCTCCCTGGCAGGTCCATTGTTTTCTCCCTGGCACGTATAGTATCGGAATAAAATTAATTTATAATTGTTCACTCAGAAATCCAAATATAGGAAGAAATATAATTGATTACAGATAGTTTTAAAAGAGAATATGAAGAGAAAACTTCATAACTTTTCAAATTCAGTTCTTGTCTAGTTCAATTTAAATTCCTTTTTATTTCAGTTCTAGATCAGTGCTAGATCGATTCAATTTCAGATTTAGTTCAGCTCGCACTACAGTTCTAGTTCAGTTCTAGTTCCATTCCAGTTTAGTTCAAGTTTAATTGTAGTTCAGTTCTAGTACAGATCTAGTTCAGTTCTAGTTCAGTTCTAGTTCAGTTTTAGTTCAGTTCTAGTTCAGTTCTAGTTCAATTCTAATTCAGTTCTAGTTCAGTTCTAGTTCAGTTCTAGTTCAGTTCTAGTTCAGTTCTAGTTCAGTTCTAGTTCAGTTCTAGTTCAGTTCTAGTTCAGTTCTAGTTCAGTTCTAGTTCAGTTCTAGTTCAGTTCTAGTTCAGTTCTAGTTCAGTTCTAGTTCAGTTCTAGTTCAGTTCAGTCAGTTCTAGTTCAGTTCTAGTTCAGTTCTAGTTCAGTTCTAGTTCAGTTCTAGTAGTTTCAGTTCTAGTTCAGTTCTAGTTCAGTTCTAGTTCAGTTCTAGTTCAGTTCTAGTTCAGTTCTAGTTCAGTTCTAGTTCAGTTCTAGTTCAGTTCTAGTTCAGTTCTAGTTCAGTTCTAGTTCAGTTCTAGTTCAGTTCTAGTTCAGTTCTAGTTCAGTTCTAGTCAGTTCTAGTTCAGTTCTAGTTCAGTTCTAGTTCAGTTCTAGTTCAGTTCTAGTTCAGTTCTAGTCAGTTCTAGTTCAGTTCTAGTTCAGTTCTAGTTCAGTTCTAGTTCAGTTCTAGTTCAGTTCTAGTTCAGTTCTAGTTCAGTTCTAGTTCAGTTCTAGTTCAGTTCTAGTTCAGTTCTAGTTCAGTTTCTAGTTCAGTTCTAGTTCAGTTCTAGTTCAGTTCTAGTTCAGTTCTAGTTCAGTTCTAGTTCAGTTCTAGTTCAGTTCTAGTTCAGTTCTAGTTCAGTTCTAGTTCAGTTCTAGTTCAGTTCTAGTTCAGTTCTAGTTCAGTTCTAGTTCAGTTCTAGTTCAGTTCTAGTTCAGTTCTAGTTCAGTTCTAGTTCAGTTCTAGTTCAGTTCTAGTTCAGTTCTAGTTCAGTTCTAGTTCAGTTCTAGTTCAGTTCTAGTTTAGTTCTAGTTCAGTTCTAGTTCAGTTCTAGTTCAGTTCTAGTTCAGTTCTAGTTCAGTTCTAGTTCACTTCTAGTTCAGTTCTAGTCCAGTTCTAGTTCAGTTCTAGTTCAGTTCTAGTTCAGTTCTAGTTCAGTTCTAGTTCAGTTCTAGTTCAGTTCTAGTTCAGTTCTAGTTCAGTTCTAGTTCAGTTCTAGTTCAGTTCTAGTTCAGTTCTAGTTCAGTTCTAGTTCAGTTCTAGTTCAGTTCTAGTTCAGTTCTAGTTCAGTTCTAGTTCAGTTCTAGTTCAGTCTAGTTCAGTTCTAGTTCAGTTCTAGTTCATTTCTAGTTCAGTTCTAGTTCAGTTCTAGTTTCAGTTCTAGTTCAGTTCTAGTTCAGTTCTAGTTCCAGTTCTAGTTCAGTTCTAGTTCAGTTCTAGTTCAGTTCTAATTCAGTTCTAGTTCAGTTCTAGTTCAGTTCTAGTTCAGTTCTAGTTCAGTTCTAGTTCAGTTCTAGTTCAGTTCTAGTTCATTCTAGTTCAGTCTGGTTCAGTTCTAGTTCACTTCTAGTTCAGTTCTAGTTCTAGTTCTAGTTCAGTTCTAGTTCAGTTCTAGTTCAGTTCTAGTTCAGTTCTAGTTCAGTTCTAGTTCAGTTCTAGTTCAGTTCTAGTTTAGTTCAGTTCTAGTTCAGTTCTAGTTCAGTTCTAGTTCAGTTCTAGTTCAGTTCTAGTTCAGTTCTAGTTCAGTTCTAGTTCAGTTCTAGTTCAGTTCTAGTTCAGTTCTAGTTCAGTTCTAGTTCAGTTCTAGTTCAGTTCTAGTTCTAGTTCAGTTCTAGTTCAGTTATAGTTCAGTTCTAGTTCAGTTATAGTTCAGTTCTAGTTCAGTTCTAGTTCAGTTCTAGTTCAGTTCTAGTTCAGTTCTAGTTCAGTTCTAGTTCAGTTCTAGTTCAGTTCTAGTTCAGTTCTAGTTCAGTTCTAGTTCAGTTCTAGTTCAGTTCTAGTTCAGTTCTAGTTCAGTTCTAGTTCAGTTCTAGTTCAGTTCTAGTTCTAGTTTAGTTCTAGTTCTAGTTCAGTTCTAGTTCACTTCTAGTTCACTTCTAGTTCACTTCTAGTTCAGTTCTATTTCAGTTCTATTTCAGTTCTAGTTCAGTTCTAGTTCACTTCTAGTTCAGTTCTAGTTCAGTTCTAGTTCAGTTCTAGTTCAGTTCTAGTTCAGTTTTCTTCAGTTCTAGTTCAGTTCTAGTTAAGTTCTAGTTCCGTCCTAGTTTATTTCTAGTTCAGTTCTAGTTCTGTTCTAGTTTAGTTCTAGTTCAGTTCTATTTGTGGTTTAGTTCTCACTCTGTTATATTTCAACTCTAGTTGAAATAGTGTTTTCAACGTCAACTTCCCCTGTTAGTCGATTTTTCATCAACATCTGGCAAACCTTTGCCTCGCACGATCCTCTACTTCTATGACAGCACTGAACGTACTGCAGCGTACTAAGAGAGTATTTGTGTGTGTGAGAGAGAGTTTAAGTGTGATGTTGTTGTTGTTGCTTGGTATTAATTTATTTATTTTTTCTTACTACTGTTAAAGTTAGTGCAACGCTAATATGCTGAGCAGCGCTACCAACAAACTGATCAATTTACAAATATAGACATGCTAGTTGTATTTTAAGAGTCGTACTTTTTGGTTGTTGTAAGCGCGTAAAATAGGAACAAATTTAATATGAAAATAAAATTTTATTAAAAGAAAACAAAAATTAAACGAATTAATAAAAAACAAAATAATAATAAAAACCTAAAAAATTATTAAAATAAAAAATGGAATAAAACAAACAAATTTTATAAAAAAATAAAACAAAATTAAATTTACCAAAAAAATTTTTTAAACAAATTTCGCTTGTTGAGAATAAAAAGTTATATTTCAAGTGAATTTGGCTGAAATTAAAGTGAAAAATAAAACAATTTTTAAAGATTTTTTTGTTTAAAAAAAATATCTGAAAAAGCAGTTTTCTATTAAACAACAGTTATAAATCGATTCACAAACGATTTTACCTTTGACAAAAAATACAAAACAAAACAACTCCAAAAAAAGCCCGTTTTTTGTTACGATTTCTGCTGCTTCTTCTTTAAATTTTTTATACATTGTGTGCGAGTTTCGATTTACCCCCTCAAAACGCTCCTCTCCACGGCTCCCACAAAAAAAGTGTTGATTTTTTTTTGTTGGTGTTTTATTACGGTTGAATTTTTCGTTGGTTCAAGAGAGTCGAATCGCGTAGAGTCGAGTCGAGTCAGTCAGTCACTTTACTTTAGTTGTCTCAATATTAATTATTTGAATGTATTAATATTGTTGTTGTTGTTGCTGTGATTTGTTCAGTTAAAAAGTGTTAGTGTATGAGTGTTAAAGAGTATTAAAGAAAACAAAAAAAATATATAATAAAAATATAAAAATTTAAGTAACAAAAACAAAAAAAAAAAAAAAAAAAAAAAAAAAAATTAATACGTTGTTGTTGTTGTGTGTACTTAAAAATAAAAGCAACAACTTTTGTAGAAAAAAATTTAAAAAAAAACAACAAAAAAATAGCTGACAATTTGTCGTTGTTGTTCGTCTTTATTATTATTATTTACTCAACTACAACTTAGCTTACTGTTGTTGTAGTAGTAGTTTTTTATTTAAATTTTAAAAAATATAAAAATAAAACAAAAATTTTTATACGAAATACGATACAACTTGAAATAAAATACAGCAGCAGCTTTAATATTAAAAACAAAAAAATTAAAAAAAAACGTGTTGTTAACTTAATATTTTCACTTTTTATATGAAAACAAATTTTATGTTTTTTTTTTATAGAAAACAAAAAAATCAATTTTTAAAAAAATTATTATAAAGTTTCTTTAAGAAAAATTATTCTATGCAAATTTTTTTTAAACATAAAAGTGATTATTGAATAATTTTAAACCGGATTTGGTGTAAAATATTTTCAATTCAATTTGTTATTAAAAGGTATGTTTTAAAAAGCTTTCAATAATTTTAATTATTTTATAAAAATTAATTTTACTAAACTTGGAAAAGTCCTCTTGTTAGATTTAGTCTTATTAGCTTAATGTTAACACTTTTCGACAGTGTTTTCGCTAGTTACTTAACCAACTCCAAAATACAAGTTATACAAGTCATTCAATGTATTTAGATTCCAATCAATATGTTGATAAAAATTTAGACCGTGCTTTATAGTTTTCCCTAAGGCAAGTAATAACTCCATAAGTTTTGAGAACTGTGGGCCGGTTTTATAGTTAACACTAAGTGACAATTTCATAAAAATTTCAAAACTTAAGTGCAATTTTTTGTCTTTAGTGCGAACTACAAAACCCAGCCTATGTGAAATTTAAAAACTTAACTAAAATTGTTACTCTTAGAGAGATCTGTAACATCCAGCTTAAGTTCATATTAAGCATAAATAAACCTATTTAAGAACAAAGACCGATAAAATTTGAGAAACACATTATATTTTCGAAATATGTATCTCAAAATAACACTTAAAGAAAGGCTACTTATGAAGTTTGAACGGCCTCTAACGAGCCTGCTATGTGTTTCTTTTGAAAACAAAATTTTAGTGAAAAAACCGTATATACCGATCTATGTCCAATCTTTAGAAATCTAATTTTTCTATGTGTTCCTGAGGAACGTAATATCTTTATTATCCTCGGACTCAAAATAATTTGATCTAATTTCGATGAAAGCGTGGCAATGACAGGAAATGTGTTGCAGCATTTTACTGTCCACTCAGCATGCTCTTCATTAGTCTAAATCCGTACGACTAATTTTGTATAGTTGTGTCTGTATCATCATACTTACCTCGGACTTAATCATTTTGAAGAGGCTTCACGGAATGCTATCGTTGGGTTTGCTCTATTGTATTATTCCAAGTAGAGGTATGGGATTCTCTTGCTCATGTTTTAAATCGGATATCGTTGAGTCGAACGGTTTTGTTAACATCTTAAGACCGAACAGAGTTTATCGTAAAGAGAAGGGAACTAAATCGAATTTAGTTATTTTGTAGTTCAGTTCTAGTTCAGTTCAGTTCTAGTTCAGTTCAGTTCTAGTTCAGTTCTAGTTCAGTTCTAGTTCAGTTCCAGTTCAGTTCTAGTTCAGTTCTAGTTCAGTTCTAGTTCAGTTCTAGTTCAGTTCTAGTTCAGTTCTAGTTCAGTTCTAGTTCAGTTCTAGTTCAGTTCAGTTCTAGTTCAGTTCTAGTTCAGTTCTAGTTCAGTTCTAGTTGAGTTCTAGTTCAGTTCTAGTTCAGTTCTAGTTCAGTTCTAGTTCAGTTCTAGTTTTAGTTCAGTTCTAGTTGAGTTCTAGTTCAGTTCTAGTTCAGTTCTAGTTCAGTTCTAGTTCAGTTCTAGTTCAGTTCTAGTTCAGTTCTAGTTCAGTTCTAGTTCAGTTCTAGTTCAGTTCTAGTTCAGTTCTAGTTCAGTTCTAGTTCAGTTCTAGTTCAGTTCTAGTTCAGTTCTAGTTCAGTTCTAGTTCAGTTCTAGTTCAGTTCTAGTTCAGTTCTAGTTCAGTTCTAGTTCAGTTCTAGTTCAGTTCTAGTTCAGTTCTAGTTCAGTTCTAGTTCAGTTCTAGTTCAGTTCTAGTTCAGTTCTAGTTTAGTTCTAGTTCAGTTCTAGTTCAGTTCTAGTTCAGTTCTAGTTCAGTTCTAGTTCAGTTTTAGTTCAGTTCTAGTTCAGTTCTAGTTCAGTTCTAGTTCAGTTTTAGTTCAGTTCTAGTTCAGTTCTAGTTCAGTTCTAGTTCAGTTCTAGTTCAGTTCTAGTTCAGTTCTAATTCAGTTCTAGTTCAGTTCTAGTTCAGTTCTAGTTCAGTTCTAGTTCAGTTCTAGTTCAGTTCTAGTTCAGTTCTAGTTCAGTTCTAGTTCAGTTCTAGTTCAGTTCTAGTTCAGTTCTAGTTCAGTTCTAGTTCAGTTCTAGTTCAGTTCTAGTTCAGTTCTAGTTCAGTTCTAGTTCAGTTCTAGTTCAGTTCTAGTTCAGTTCTAGTTCAGTTCTAGTTCAGTTCTAGTTCAGTTCTAGTTCAGTTCTAGTTCAGTTCTAGTTCAGTTCTAGTTCAGTTCTAGTTCAGTTCTAGTTCAGTTCTAGTTCAGTTCTAGTTCAGTTCTAGTTCAGTTCTAGTTCAGTTCTAGTTCAGTTCTAGTTCAGTTCTAGTTCAGTTCTAGTTCAGTTCTAGTTCTAATTCAGTTCTAGTTCAGTTCTAGTTCAGTTCTAGTTCAGTTCTAGTTCAGTTCTAGTTCAGTTCTAGTTCAGTTCTAGTTCAGTTCTAGTTCAGTTCTAGTTCAGTTCTAGTTCAGTTCTAGTTCAGTTCTAGTTCAGTTCTAGTTCAGTTCTAGTTCAGTTCTAGTTCAGTTCTAGTTCAGTTCTAGTTCAGTTCTAGTTCAGTTCTAGTTCAGTTCTAGTTCAGTTCTAGTTTAGTTCTAGTTCAGTTCTAGTTCAGTTCTAGTTCAGTTTTAGTTGAGTTTTAGTTCAGTTCTAGTTCAGTACTAGTTCAGTCTTAACTCACTTATTGGCTACGGCCAGATTTCCTACAGTTTTTTGTTTATTATTTTGTTACAAAATTTAACATAAACTAATGATGAATATTTTTTATATAGTTTTATTTAAAAAATGCCCACCGTGTTAATGCGGATTCTAAACAACAGCATATAATTTATTAAAAGGTCAATAACTAAAGGAGAATTTTTGTTCTTTGGTAGCTATATGACAACGCGTTAAAAAAAAAAGAAATTAATGGAATTTATAATCAAGAAATACGTGCATTGAATAACGATTTATTCAAAAACACTTTAGAAACGTAAAAAAAGAAAACTTGCATTCTCAATGCACAACGGTCGCCTAAGGCATTTGAAAAAAGTGTTGGTTAGTGTCTAGTTAAATAGGAAAGAATTTTTATGAAAAAGGAAAATATAATGAAAAAATTATTAAAAACCATTTTTTAATAGAATTAAAAAAACTGAAAATAGACCTAGAATATTAACAAGCTATTTTTCTTATACTTAAGCTATATCCTTGTTAAATTTTTTTTTTAAATTCTAAAAGTAACTACAGTTAACCTAAAGAACTCAGGGTTTTAAACCTGTTTGTCTGTGATATTTTATTAAAAAATCTATAGACGGATTCAAGGCCGTTGAGTTGTAGATTTAAAAAAAAAAATTCACATTTAAAAAATATTTATGGCTAATTTTTCCTTATATTCTTTTTCATACTCTCATATATTTATTAACGTTTTACAATAATTTCAAAACTTGCAAAGTAGATTTAATTGCGAGTTTAAGTCTTAAATAACTCAAAGTTTAAACCTAAGCTCCATGGTAGTTGTTGTAAACTAGCAAAACGTATGTGTGTAATTTGAAATGTGTTTTGAATAAATTTTCTTTTTATTTATTGAGAGTTTTGAACAGAAAAAACAAGTATTTCTCTGAAGTTATTTTTGTTTTCGTTAAGTAAATATAGTTTTTTATGTTTTATTTGTTTTATTTTTTTATTTATAAATATTTTTGTTCATTGTTTGCTAACTTGAGGTTTTTGTTTTTTTTTTTTTGCCAATTTGTTTTGCATTGCTTACTTAAGGTGTTAGTGACTGAGGTTTAAATCTAGTGACTGGCTATTTTTATTTAGTAGTTTTTATGCTAAATAGTTAAGTCGTTGAAAATAGTACCGTCGTCTACTCTACGGTTTTAAACTTCAGTACACGTTCGTTCTATGGAATTTTGTTTGGTAAAATACAAAATCAAATAAAACGAAAACAAAAATAGTCTGAAATATAAAAAAATATTTAATAACGTACTTATTGGCGTCATATATTCCTCATAACTGTGGGTAAAATTTATTTTAATGCTTAAAAACACTTGGCTAAATAAACAAGTATTTACATACGGTTTTTTTGTTTATAATTTTATTATGTATTATTAATATTTTTAATATCTTTTTGCCAAATTTAATTCAAAATGAGTGTTTAAATACAAACACATTTGGTATGATAAATAGTTGCTACTAGTTACTTATATAATCCAAAGTAATGCAAATGGTAATGCTAAGGTCCTTCGGTTAGGCCCTATTGCATTTTAATTGTACAGTTCTAGTTCAGTTCTAGTTCAATTCTAGTTTAATTCTAGTTCAGTTCTAGTTCAGTTCTAGTTCAGTTCTAGTTCAGTTCTAGTTCAGTTCTAGTCAGTTCTAGTTCAGTTCTAGTTCAGTTCTAGTTCAGTTCTAGTTCAGTTCTAGTTCAGTTCTAGTTCAGTTCTAGTTCAGTTCTAGTTCAGTTCTAGTTCAGTTCTAGTTCAGTTCTAGTTCAGTTCTAGTTCAGTTCTAGTTCAGTTCTAGTTCAGTTCTAGTTCAGTTCTAGTTCAGTTCTAGTTCAGTTTCTAGTTCAGTTCTAGTTCAGTTCTAGTTCAGTTCTAGTTCAGTTCTAGTTCAGTTCTAGTTCAGTTCTAGTTCAGTTCTAGTTCAGTTCTAGTTCAGTTCTAGTTCAGTTCTAGTTCAGTTCTAGTTCAGTTCTAGTTCAGTTCTAGTTCAGTTCTAGTTCAGTTCTAGTTCAGTTCTAGTTCAGTTCTAGTTCAGTTCTAGTTCTAGTTCAGTTCTAGTTCAGTTCTAGTTCAGTTCTAGTTCAGTTCTAGTTCAGTTCTAGTTCAGTTCTAGTTCAGTTCTAGTTCAGTTCTAGTTCAGTTCTAGTTCAGTTCTAGTTCAGTTCTAGTTCAGTTCTAGTTCAGTTCTAGTTCTAGTTCAGTTCTAGTTCAGTTCTAGTTCAGTTCTAGTTCAGTTCTAGTTCAGTTCTAGTTCAGTTCTAGTTCAGTTCTAGTTCAGTTCTAGTTCAGTTCTAGTTCAGTTCTAGTTCAGTTCTAGTTCAGTTCTAGTTCAGTTCTAGTTCAGTTCTAGTTCAGTTCTAGTTCAGTTCTAGTTCAGTTTCTAGTTCAGATTCTAGTTCAGTTCTAGTTCAGTTCTAGTTCAGATTCTAGTTCAGTTCTAGTTCAGTTCTAGTTCAGTTCTAGTTCAGTTCTAGTTCAGTTCTAGTTCAGATCTAGTTCAGTTCTAGTTTCAGTTCTAGTTCAGTTCTAGTTCAGTTCTAGTTCAGTTCTAGTTCAGTTCTAGTTCAGTTCTAGTTCAGTTCTAGTTCAGTTCTAGTTCAGTTCTAGTTCAGTTCTAGTTCAGTTCTAGTTCAGTTATAGTTCAGTTATAGTTCAGTTATAGTTCAGTTCTAGTTCAGTTAGTTCAGTTCTAGTGTTCTAGTTCAGTTCTAGTTCAGTTCTAGTTCAGTTCTAGTTCAGTTCTAGTTCAGTTCTAGTTCAGTTCTAGTTCAGTTCTAGTTCAGTTCTAGTTCAGTTCTAGTTCAGTTCTAGTTCAGTTCTAGTTCAGTTCTAGTTCAGTTCTAGTTCAGTTCTAGTTCAGTTCTAGTTCAGTTCTAGTTCAGTTCTAGTTCAGTTCTAGTTCAGTTCAGTTCTAGTTCAGTTCTAGTTCAGTTCTAGTTCAGTTCTAGTTCAGTTCTAGTTCAGTTCTAGTTCAGTTCTACTATAGTTTCTACTATAGTTCAATTCTAGTTTAGTTTTACTTACCCAATAACTAACTGCATTGGGGGCGAAAAATATTTTCTTTTAAAACAAATCCCTCTTAGATCATTAATAATAAAAAATTCAATAAACATTTAATTTAACAAATTTCTAACAAATGAATCGACAACGAACTACTTACTATCTTCTTTCTTTTTGTCATAATTTCAGTTTGAAGCCAATAAACCCACAACAGGATTTTTGTTTTAATTTCTTATCTAATCAATAACAACAACTCTACACCCGACTAAGGTAAGTTTTGAAATTCCAAATATTTTTTTCTCACCGTATTTATTAACGACCATAAAAATATGCTCGTAACATACTGTGAAATTTCTTGTAACATATTTCGTTTTGTGGGTAATGCCCTGTAAATCTATAGAGATTGAGAGAAATCCATTTTTACGATCAAATTTTTAATAAGTGTGATCATATTAAATAACAAAAAAACAAAAACTTAAATTGGACAAAAAAAAAAAAAAAAAAAAAAAAGAAATTACCATTTATAATTTCGAAATAAAAATTAATTTTCAAGTTTGTAAAGTGTTATCTTCTTGGGCTCTAGTCTATCGATTTGTAACATTTATTAAAGGGTCTTTTCATTCATAGAGAGTGGATTTCAATAGTGGTGGTGGGGTCATAAAAATTTGATCATAAACTCGTATCATATTAAATAAATTCTAAATGTGTGTGTTAAAATAAAAGAAAAGTTTATTTATAAATATTTAATGGTTACATAAAAATTTAGAATTTTATTAAATTAAATCATAAAAAAAATCAACTAGAATAAGCAGTTAAAGTTGCTTTTGATATAAAAATGTTCACCTTTTTAAAAAGACACTTTTCGGCTTTTATCAAAGTTGTGTTGAGAGTAAAGGAAAAACTTAAGTATTAGTTAAATGCATTAGTTTTGAATAAAAGTCAAAGTTAAGCATTAAGATTAAGTAGAAAAATGGATTATAAAAACTGCGATTGTGGTAAAAATTAGACTATGTAAAACTACGTCAGTACTAGTTCAGTTCTCGTTCAGTTCTTTTTCAGTTCTAGTTCAGTTCTAGTTCAGTTCTAGTTCAGTTCTAGTTCAGTTCTAGTTCAGTTCTAGTTCAGTTCTAGTTTCAGTTCTAGTTTAGTTCTAGTTCAGTTCTAGTTCAGTTCTAGTTCAATTCTAGTTCAGTTCTAGTACAGTTCTAGTTCAGTTCTAGTTCAATTCTAGTTCAGTTCTAGTACAGTTCTAGTTCAGTTCTAGTTCAGTTCTAGTTCTAGTTCAGTTCTAGTTCAGTTTCTAGTTCAGTTCTAGTTCAGTTCTAGTTCAGTTCTAGTTCAGTTCTAGTTCAGTGCTAGTTCAGTTCTAGTTCAGTTCAAGTTCAGTTCTAGTTCAGTTCTAGTTCAGTTCTAGTTCAGTTCTAGTTCAGTTCTAGTTCAGTTCTAGTTCAGTTCTAGTCAGTTCTAGTTCAGTTCTAGTTCAGTTCTAGTTCAGTCTAGTAGTTCTAGTTCAGTTCTAGTCAGTTCTAGTTCAGTTCTAGTTCAGTTCTAGTTCGTTCTAGTTCGTTAGTTCAGTTCTAGTTCAGTTCTAGTTCAGTTCTAGTTCAGTTGCTAGTTCAGGTTCTTGTTCAGTTCTAGTTCAGTTAGTCAGTTCAGTTTCTCGTTCCGTTAGGTTCAGTTCTAGTTCAGTTCTAGTTCAGTTCTAGTTCGTTCTAGTTCAGTTCTAGTTCAGTTCTAGTTCAGTTCTAGTTCAGTTCTAGTTCAGTTCTAGTTCAGTTCTAGTTCATTCTCAGTTCAGTTCTAGTTCAGTTCTAGTTCAGTTCTAGTTCAGTTCTAGTTCAGTTCTAGTTCAGTTTCTAGTTCAGTTTTAGTTCAGTTCTGTTCCAGTTCTAGTTCAGTTCTAGTTCAGTTCTAGTTCAGTTCTAGTTCAGTTTCTAGGTCAGTTCTAGTTTCAGTTCTGTTCAGTTCTAGTTCAGTTCTAGTTCAGTTCTAGTTCAGTTCTAGTTCAGTTCTAGTTCAGTTCTAGGTCAGTTCTAGTTCAGTTCTAGTTCAGTTCTAGTTCAGTTCTAGTTCAGTTCTAGTTCAGTTCTAGTCAGTTCTAGTTCAGTTCTAGTTCAGTTCTAGTTCAGTTCTAGTTCTAGTTCTAGGTCAGTTCTAGTTCAGTTCTAGTCAGTTCTAGTTCTAGATTAGATTTAGTTGAGTTGAAGGTGAGTTCTGATTGAGTTCTAGTTCAGTTCTATTTCAGATCTAATTCAGGTATGGTTCATTTCCACTATGTTTCTTATTGAGTTCTAGTGCATTTGAGGGCATTGAGTTTTGATACTGTACGAAGAAAGAAATATGTAGATTATTTACTGAAATGTTTTAAATACCAAATAACTCAACTTTGCACTGCCCCTACCCTAAACTTTTCTTAATGACTGTTTTATGGCTCTGTTACATATTGTAAACAAATGTCGCCTGTGGTTTTAAATCTGTTTAACAAATATTTCCATAATTTATGTTTTGTTTTTCTCTACACAACTTGCCACTAGTAATAAAAAACTAGTTTTAATAGATATTTTTTTTTAAGTTTTACTAGTATGTAGGTATTTCGACAGAAGTTACTGAAAAAAACTATCAATTTCACTTTCGATTTTAAGCTAAAATTATGTTTTTTTAGCTATTGGACAGCAAGCAGAAAAAAATACAACGAAATTCCTTAAAATACATAAAAATAATACTAGATATTTTATAGCAAAAGCCAAAAGATGTCATACAGGCAGTGGTGGAGACATTGGGTTTTATACAAGACAAGATCGCATACATAAATACCTTGGCTAGACGCGACACCAGAAAACTATTTAAAGACACAGAGGAAGAAGAAAACAAAGAAACAAAACTCTGAACTGTCTTGCGAAGAAATAAAAAAGAAGAAACTACGACCAGAACAAAGGTTATAAAATGTTGCTAATGTTTTAAGTAAAGAAAAAAACATTACTGTCGCTAAATAAACTAATGGGACAGACAGACAAGAAAACGATTTAGAGTTAAAACTAAAGAAAAACCAACAGACTATCTAAAAAAATACACATATAAATAAATACTTTTAGTAATATAAATTCAAACCCAATAGGAAATTTTTGCAATTTATAAAGAAATTTTTCGTTAAAAACTGAGTGAATTAATTAAAAATCTATTTGTAATCATCAGGGCGTATGATTAATATTAATTCAGAGGTTGGTTTATAAAATTCGCTATAACTTGAGAACTAGAACAGTTATTGAAGAAAATCAAAGGCTATTAGTAGCTAATATTCTACAGATTTAATACACTATAAAATGTTTTAAGAAATAGCTACATTTTATTAGCCATAACTCAATTTCCTATTAGGTTTTGCAAAAGCAAACACTACAAGGAAAAAAAAACTCGCAAATTGCAACATGAGACATTATTGCCAACTCTATTGCTGCTGCTGATGCTGCTTGCAACAAATGAAAAAAATTAAGAAAAAAATAACACTCATATGAAAAATAAACAAAAAAAAACTGACACATCCAAATAAAAAAGATACACACCATCAGTTTGGATGAATGCCTGGCTGCCTCTAGTGCTGCGGCTGCTGCAGTTGTTGACAACTATTGCAGAAGAACAAGACAGACGACAACAGAAAATGAAAATCAACTGCAACAGCAACAACTTTTAACTTTTATTTGTTTAACTGCTCGTTTCACTTTGTTGCATTTTTGGTTCATTTTTAGACGTCTAGAGAAGCAGGAGGAGGAAGAGGGTGTCTGACAGTCAGTTTCAGTTTCTATTAGTAGGTACTTCTTCTGGTGACTTCTGTAGTCGTCGTCGTCATCATCATCATTTTATTGTTTTCTTAGTACCTGTTGCTGATCTTCATCTCATTTGTGTTTTGATGATGATCGCACTCACAAAAAAGCTTCAATTAGTCTTTATGTGGCAATAGCCAATATTGCAGCTACAATCATGAGGTTTATTAGTCCAAACCCATGTCAATTTGCTTGACAGAATATGAGGAGTATAAAAATAATGATAGTTTTTATTTTGAAATGGAAATTTGTTTAGGTTTTAAATGAAAGTGATCCAAAAACATATGGACATGATTGACAAGTGAAGCTAAACAGATCTAGAATTAAAGATCGAATGGGAATAAATTAAGTTTTTTGTTCTAGTTCATTTTCTAGTTCAGTTCTAGTCAGTTCTAGTTCAGTTCTAGTTCAGTTCTAGTTCAGTTCTAGTTCAGTTCTAGTTCAGTTCTAGTTCAGTTCTAGTTCAGTTCTAGTTCAGTTCTAGTTTCAGTTCTAGTTCAGTTCTAGTTCAGTTCTAGTTCAGTTCTAGTTCAGTTCTAGTTCAGTTCTAGTTCGTTCTAGTTCAGTTCTAGTTCAGTTCTAGTTCAGTTCTAGTTCAGTTCTAGTTCAGTTCTAGTTCAGTTCTAGTTCAGTTCTAGTTCAGTTCTAGTTCAGTTCTAGTTCAGTTCGTTCAGTTCTAGTTCAGTTCTAGTTCAGTTCTAGTTTAGTTCTAGTTCAGTTCTAGTTCAGTTCTAGTTCAGTTCTAGTTCAGTTCTAGTTCAGTTCTAGTTCAGTTCTAGTTCAGTTCTAGTTCAGTTCTAGTTCAGTTCTAGTTCAGTTCTAGTTCAGTTCTAGTTCAGTTCTAGTTCAGTTCTAGTTCAGTTCTAGTTCAGTTCTAGTTCAGTTCTAGTTCAGTTCTAGTTCAGTTCTCAGTTCTAGTTCAGTCATACGTTCAGTTCTAGTTCAGTTCTAGTTCAGTTCCTAGTTCAGTTCTAGTTCAGTTCTAGTTAAGTTCTAGTTCAGTCTAGTTCCAGTTCTAGTTCAGTTCTAGTTCAGGTCTAGTTCAGTTCTAGTTCAGTTCTAGTTTCAGTTATAGTTCAGTTTCTAGTCAGTTCTAGTTCAGTTCTAGTTCAGTATTCTAGTTCAGTTCAGTTCAGTCTAGTTCCGGTTCTAGTTCAGTTCTAGTGTTCAGTGCTAGTTCTAGTTCGTGTTCAGTTCTAGTGTTCTAGTTTTCAGTTCAGTTCTAGTTCAGTTCTAGGTTCAGTTCAGTTCATTCAGTTCAGTTCAGTTCAGTTTAAGGTGTTTTTCAGTTCAGTTCTAGTTCTAGTTCAGTTCTAGTTCATTCTGTTCAGTGCTAGTTCAGTTCTAGTTCAGTTCTAGTTCAGTTCTAGTTCAGTTCTAGTTCAGTTCTAGTTCAGTTCTAGTTCAGTTCTAGTTAGTTTCTATTTCAGTTTTCTAGTTCAGTTCTAGTTCATTTTCTAGTCAGTTTCTAGTTAGTTCTAGTCAGTTCTAGTTCAGTTCTAGTTCAGTTCTAGTCAGTTCTAGTTCATTCTAGTTCAATTCTAGTTCAGTTCTGGTTCAAGTTCTTATTCACTTTTAATAAATTTGTAGTTCAGTTTCTAGTTTGGATCCTAAAGAAAAAATTTTACATTTCTCTTTAAAAGTTTAAAAAATAAAATCCTTTTAAAAGCCATCAAGGCGTATGATTGATATTAATTAAGAGGTGAGCTTATAAA